AGCAATGCGGTGATAGAGATAGACGATGGCGGCTTACACGACAACGCTCGTGTCCCCGGCGCACATCAGCGCCTGCCGTATCCAATCTACAATGCAAGATGATTAAACAGCAAACTCCCATATGAATTATATAGATTTGCCTATACAGCGGTCGAGGTGGTCGATTTCCATCGCGTCGTCTTTGTAATAATCTAATGAGTGCTGTCAGCGCTGGCGCTGGCGGACGGTGGTCTCAAGTACGTGCGTGAAGGCCTTTGCGAATCATGTTCTTTGGAAGTCGGTCCGGCGTCAGGAACTATCTGGCCGCTCCCCGCGGCACGCACCATCGCGGGGCGGATGATGCTCCCCAAGCGCTTGCGCAGCTCCGTCTGCGGAAGCTGCAGCTGGGCGTGCGACGCACGGCGCGTCAGCGCGGGAATGCGCGTGGGCCCGGGTGACGGCGGGCTCGGTTGTGGATGGTGCTGGTGGTGATGATTCTGCTTCAGAACGGGCGAGGACGGGACGTGGCGCAGGGGTGGGCTCGGCTGCGAGTGGTGCTGCTGATTCTGCTTTAAGACGGGCGACGACGGGAGTGGCGGAGCGTGTTGGTCGGGAGGGGCGGCGTCGGCGGCGTCGGCGGCTGACTATGCAATTGTACAGTCAAGTGCGCGTATGACGAGCGGCGACTGAGCGGGAGGCGGGGCGACATCGGCGAGGGCGGAGGTGCTTGCCGAGGAAGAGGAGACGGCGCGAGAGGCTGTTGGGTCTGAGGCCGAAGGGGCGGTGGCATGCGGCGCGCGATAGGCGATGACTGCGGTTGCGGGGGCTGCGGGCCTGGAGACGTAACTGGGCGATACAGCGACGGCGGAGGCGATGACGGTAGAGGTACAACAGACAGCGGCGACGGCTTCTTCTTCCTTGCTGGCGGCGCCGTCAGCACCGCAGCCTGCTTCAACGGTGGCGGCGGTCCGCGTAATCCCGACCCCGATGCACCACCAAATCCAAACGGCCGCCGCCCGACACCGACACTGGGGCCGAACCGCGCACGCGCCTCCGCGACGGACGGCAGGTCGACGCGCGAGCTGAATGTCGGTGTCCCGCAGCGGCTGCTCGCACACTAGCGAGCCGGGCGCCTTGGTGACGCGCACAACCTTCCCTCCCCCACCCCAAAATCATCCACACACGCAAGCGGGAGCACAAAGTCCGCGAGGACAAGCCTCGTGTGCGGCGCGGCAGCCTCACGCAGACGGAGCAGGATGCGCTGCGCGAACGCGTCGGGCCAGTCGTGCAGCACCACGCGGAGGAGGAAGACCGACGCGTCTGTGACGGGCTGTGGGGTGAAGAAGTCGTGCACTGGGGTCGAGTTGTCAGCATTTGTTCTATTGAGCGAGGAGAAGTGGAAAGGCAAAGATCTACGCACCCTGAAACCGCACCGCGCCCGAGTCGAGGAGCTCCGGACACTTCGCGCGCCACGCCTGAAAAATGTGTACATCAGCCCACCATCCTTCAAAGACGGCTGGAAAACGCAAGTATATACCTTCTCCCCCATCTCGACGACCACCGGCCGGTCCTGGATTACGAAGCGCAGACCGCCGCTGCCTGTGGAGTCCGTGAGTACATGTTATAGACATGTGGGGCGGATGACAAGGGAAGAGAAAGATAGAATCGGGAAGAAAGAAGAAGGAAGAAGGAAGAACCACGCACCATCCGCATCCACCTCCGCATACGCGCTCGCCAGCAGCATGCTCGTCGAGCCGATCCCGCCACCTACATCCACGACCACGCTCCCGCGCGGGAGCGCCGCCCAGTCAAAACCTGCGCAGAGCAAAAATCGTCAGCACTCAGTACGCAGTACGCAACGAGATTAAAAGTAGGAAGAAAGGCAAGCAGAGCACCTACCATGCAACACCGCCCCCAGCGCCTCCCAGCTTCCCGTCCCCGCCATCGCCTTCCCGAACCGCTCCAGCCGGAAGCGGTTCGGGTTCGGGTTCGTGTCGCCGAGGTTTGGGTTCGTGTCACCACGGTTCGGGTTCGAGTTCGCATCGCCACGCCCGCCCCACCCCTCCCCCTCCAACCACGCGAAATACCCAACGCCCCCACACCCGAACGCGTAGTTGAACGGCGCGCGCGTGGGGTCGGCGCCGCTTGTGCTCGTGTTTGTGCTCGTGGTGCTCGTGGAGGTGTTGAGGCTTGTGCTGGCGTTGAGGCTGCTCGTACTCGCGCTCAGACTGCCGCTGCTACCCGTACTCGCGCTGAGAGGCGACGGGAGCGAGGCCGCGGGAGAGGCGGGCGAGCCCGAGCCCGAACCCAAGCCCGAACCCGAGCCCGCGGGGTAGAGCCGCGCGGCGCCGGGGAAGACGGCCTCGGTGAGGTAGGCGCTTGATTTGAAGAGCTCGTCGGTGCTGTGAAAACAAAAAAAAAGTTAGTATTTTTATAAAAGAGAAGAAGAAGAGCAGGTGAATAGGGAGAGGGTAGGGATGACGGGTTGGCCGAAGGGTCCAACTGGAGGGTGAGAAAGAAAAAAGGAAAGGAAAAGAAAACATGGATATGCGCGTCATTCGGTCCTCAGAAATAAAAGTCGGGCACGAAACGTGGATATATGCGCGGGATATCGATACCGATGTCGATGTCGCGAGAGTATACGCCCAGAACAAGAAACGAAAGATCGGGTGGGGGTAAATGAAGACACGGGCGCGCATGGTCCGAAATACTAATTTAAAAAAAGAATCATAGGTGCCCACGACGATAAGATAGGTATTCGCCAAAGAAAAGCGTCAAGCCCGCCAGCAGGGACGCACGACCAGGAATAAAATAAAGAAAAAAGTGGATATACACGCTTCATTCGCGTCAGGATCGTTCTCCGGAGGGTATACGCGCGAATAAAGGCGAAGAGAAATAAGCGGGGCATACGCAAACCCAGCAACAAAAAAAAAAAAAATGGGAGCAAAACGGGCCGCACGACGCGCATATACCCATCGGACGGCCAGGCCAGACACACGTCAAAAATAAAAATAAAAATAAAAAACGCGAAGGTAACGCGCCAACGAACAGAAAATCAGTCGCCTCAAAGGCCGAAAAAAATCCAGCGAGATCAGAGAAAGCAGAGAACGCGAAGAGAGGCAGAGAATAGTTTTAAAAAAATAAAAAAGTAGAAACAAGAAAAAAACAGAGAAAAGAAAGACACCCACCACAACCCAACAAACGCAGCCACCGCGCTCGCGTCGCCGTCGTACTTGCGCTCCGGGCTGTAAAAAAAAAGAGGTTAGCGGTACGCTCTTTATAGCAGAAAAAAAAAAAAGGCTGGAAGAACACAAAGAATGGGCATCAGGAGATGGAACGAAAAAACAAATCTCGTAACACAGTAATTAGGATATGGACACGACGCGCGCGGAGCCGACCCCAAGCCCAAGCCCAAGAAGACAAGCCCAAGCTCATCCGATAAGCCCGGCGCGCGAAGAGAAGTGCACAAGGACGCGTCAAGAAGTTTACACAAACGCGTCAAGAAGTTGCCAAAAAGCGTAAACGCGTCACCCAGGGAAGGAAGGGGAAGAAGGGGAAGAAGGTTCCGAGAAAGGATCAAGGAAGGCGAAGGCGAAGGCAGAGCGTAAAGGAAGCCTGTCAAGTGCGAGATAACGCGTGCGTGCCACATTGGGGACAGGACGGGACAGAGCGGGGCAGGGCAGGAAGAGCAGACACGGGGTGGGATGGGATGGGGTGAGAGTGGATTAGGTTGGGGGCTAGCCGCGGTCATGCACGGGATGGAAGAAAAAAAAATACGCGAAAGAAAATAGACCAAGAAAATAGAGCGAGGGCAGGGAAGGAGACGAACGCACTTAGCGACGAGCGCGTGCAAGGGCTTGCCCGAGTCGATGAGGGAGCTGATGCGGTTGGCGGCAAAGACGTCCGGCGCCGCCTCGCGCAGGATATGGTGCGTCGCGAGCAGACGGAGAATATGCGCTGCGCGTCGTAGCCATCTCATTAGCACGAAGAGAGAGGAAAAAGAAAAATGGACCAACCGAGTTTCGCCTGCTCCACGCCCGTGCGCTTCGCGATCTCGCGGACATGCACGGGCCCATCGCGCAGGACCTCGACGACGTGCGCGGCCTCGAGGAGACGCAGACAGCTTGGGAGGTGGTACCCCATGCCCGCGTCGCACAGCGTGAGGAACGGCACCTGCACGGTCGCGGCCAGCTGGCCCGCCGCCGCGACGATGCGGTTTATTGCGGCCACCACCGTCGGATGGGCTGTGAGCTGCTCTCCGGGCGAGGCGGGGTCGTACGGGGCGTCTAAAGAAGGAAAATCGAGACCGGGGCCGGAGAAAAGACTGGTATTCGTCGAGGAGGAAGAGGACGGGGACGGCGGTGGACTAGCATACGCGCGAGAAAACGAGTTTGTCTTGTGGGTCGGTGGAGGGTCCTCGGGCTGAGCATGGGCATAGACGGTCTCTATGTCGTGGATAGCGTCGCCGAGGATGGCATGAAGAGCACGGAGGACGGCAAGGGTCATGGCGGCGCGCAGAGAGCCAGTCTGCTTGACGAATATTATTATATTATTTATTTGCACTGAGCACGCCTGTCAAACCTATCGATCGACCTGACGCGTCTTCTTTGCTCCTTCTCGTGTCACCTTGGCTTGCTCTCTTTTCCGACTCTCCCCGCGGCCGCGAATAACGAGTACACCAAGAAGCTGAACACATCCATGAGAGGAGCGCGAGGAACGTATTTGGACCTGTTGTACAAAACCTTCCCTGACACCGCCGCCGCCGTCGCCTCACAAAATTCGGGGTGCCAGCTGGACCGATTCCGACGTCGGCGGGGTCATTTGGGCTTTTTCTTTGACATTTTCTTCTGCCAAAATCCGAGTTCATGACGCGTCTGGTGTCTGCTAAGCTACTATGTCAGGCCATCTGAGGCTAGCTAGCTAGTAGCCACAGCCAAAAGAAGTAGGTAAGACTTCCTTTCAAAATTTTATGAGGAAGAAAAAAGTAAGAACAAAAAGAATTATTAATGCACCAGGAAATACGGCTCAGGCGTGATTCGAACACGCTCCTCCTGCTAAATCAAATTTCCGGGAGCTAGTCCAATTCTTGCAGGTGTGGACCATCCACCACCAAGCCTTGCTGTCCTTTATTTTGAGCTCGATATACCAAGCAGTTATGCAGTTCCGCAGTCAGTTCAAAAAATTAATACCAAAATACCGATCTGTCATGGCCCGGGCGTGATTCGAACACGCTCCTCCTGCTAAATCAATTATTTCCTTCTGCCCGAATTTTTGCAGGTGTAGACCATCCACCACCGAGCCTTGCTGACCTCTATTTCGAGCTCGATATACCAAGCAGTTATGCAATTCCGCAGTCAGTTCAGAAAAAAAAATCAATATCATCTGCGATTTCATGACCCGGGCGTGATTCGAACACGCTCGTACTGCTAAATCAATTTTCCGTGAGCTGATCCAATTCTTGCAGGTGTTGACCATTCACCACCGAGCCTTTCTTCCTCTAAATTGAACCTAAATATGTGAAACAATTTCTTTGGTTGAAATGAAAAATGAGGATCCATTGAATGCTTATGGCTCGGACCTGATTCGAACAGGCTGCTCCTGCTTACGACAACTATAATCAGAGATAATGAGAAGCAGACGTGGACCATCCACCACTGAGCCTTTCTTACCTACAACTCAACCTTGATATACCTAACAGTTTTATTGTTGAAAGTAAAAAATAGACCGTTGACCACGATACATGGCTCGGGCCTGATTCGAACAGGCAACTCCTGCACAGTACGTAAGCAACATGCAAACTTCCTGCAGGTATGGACCATCCACCACCACGCCTTTCTTACCTTCAGCTCAACCTCAATGTACCTGACACTTTTTTGGTTGAAAAATGACAAAAACAATTGCACAGTCGACCGTCCAAGACTTGAGCCTGATTCGAACAGGCTGCTTCTGCTTACATTTGCACGATAAATTGGCATGAGATCAGATGTGGACCCTCCACCACCGGGCTTTTCTTACTTACAGCGCTTTTCATAATTCTGCGGAAAACGTAAAAATTTTCCGGCTGTTTGGACATGTTTACATAGCCCCTGAGTAAGTTCTGATCTGGCTTCGTCTGGCACTTTCGAGAGACTCCAGCTCATTAATTTGAGTTAAGTTAGATGTATTATGAATATATTGCCATTCCACGAGATTTGGAACATATGCGAGGAACGGGGACACAATCGGAGCCGAAATACACAATAAATACACAATATTCGGAAGATAATTGTGCCTTCTCCGGTGCGCACATCGTTGGGACCACGTACTTTTATCTTCCAGACCACCCTGAATGAGTCTACTAGTCTCCGAGCTCCATTTCCCCTCCCCACATGTGCTGAGTGGCTGTTTCGAGCACATGATGACCTCGTCATGGTACCTATTGGGTGCGGCAGTGTCTGTATCTCCCCATAAACCCCTGGTTTTGTCATGTAATTGAGCCATATGATGTTAGAGTGCACTATGGAGCCAGAAGAGTGCCCATAGTCGCAAGTGGGGGCCCCGAGCATCAATTTTGGATGTGGTGGCAATTTTGATGGCGTTTACAGTGTATGTTGGGCTGAGGTGTTTTCTGTGCCCTCGGGGCTGTCATCATAACAAATGGTGGGGAGTAACTGGGAGTTTTGAACAGAAATGGGGTGACCCCGAGCAGTGGAGAGGGAGAGCAGGCTCTCGACAAGATTTAGGCGCCCGATACAAACAAGGCCCAACAGCCTGGGAAAATTTTACGTTTTCCGCAGAATTATGAAAAGCGCTGTAAAACTCGATTTTTTGGTTAAAAAAGAGTTTGATGGACCTCAGGCCTCAGGCATGGTTCGGGGGCAATTCGAACATCTTTCTCCTGCTAAACCTTGAATGAAGGGGTCCTATTTTTTGCAGGTGTAGACCATCAACCACCCAGCCTTTCTTCCCTCTATTTTGTGGTCGATATACCAAGCAGTTTTGCAGTTTCGTAGCTAGTCAAAAAAAAATAAAAAATAAAACTCTGATAATTGCCATTAATGGCATGGGCCTGATTCGAACAGGCTGCTTCTGCTTACATTTCAGGAGATACAACGAGGAGCAGATCTGAGACATCCACCACCGCACCTTTCTTCCCTTAAATTGAACCTGAATATACTTCACACTTTTTATTTATTTTTTTGGTTCAAAGGTGAGTGAGAAAAAAATGATACTGAGATACTGGAGGAATGGCTCGGGCCTGATTCGAACAGGCTGCTTCTGCTTACATTGGAAAGATATATCGGCATGAGAAACAGATGTGGAACATCCACCACCAAGCCTTTCCTACCTATAACTCAACCTCAACATATAATACTGACAGTTTCTGGGGTGAAAGTAAAAAAGAGGTGGTTGACTGGATTATGGCTCGGGCCTGATTCGAACAGGCTGCTTCTGCTTACATTTGCACGATAAATTGGCATGAGATCAGACGTGGACCATCCACCACCGAGCCTTTCCTAGCTACAACTCAGCCTAAATATACCTAACAATTTCTGGGGTGAAAGTAAAAAAGGGATGGTTGACTGGATTATGGCTCGGACCTGATTCGAACAGGCTGCTCCTGCTTACGACAACTATAATCAGAGATAATGAGAAGCAGACGTGGACCATCCACCACCGAGCCTTTCTTCCCTTCAATTGAGCCTCAAGATACCCAACACTTTCTGCGGTAAATAAAAAGATTCTGTTGACCTGAATTGGCCCAGGCCAGATTCGATTAGGCTGTTTCTGCTTACATTTGCACGATAAATTGGCATGAGATCAGATGTGGACCATCCACCACCGAGCCTTTCTTACTTAAAACTCGACCTCAATATACCTAATGGTTTCTGGGGTGAAAGTGAAAGAGAGGTGAACCGCGTATGGCTCGGGCCTGATTTGAACAGGCTGTTTCTGCCTCCGATGATGAGAGGTCGGTATGAGAAACAGATGTGGGCCATCCACCACCGGGCCTTTCTTCCCTTCAATTGAACCTGAATATACTTCGAACTTTTATTTATTTTTTGGTTCAAAGGTGAGTGAGAAAAAGAATGATACCCGAAGAATGGCTCGGGCCTGATTCGAACAGGTTGCTTCTGCTTACATTGGAAAGATATGTCGGCATGAGAAACAGATGTGGACCATTCACCACCGAGCCTTTCTTCCTCTAAATTGAACCTAAATATGTGAAACAATTTCTTTGGTTGAAAGTAAAAAATAGACCGTTGACTACGATACGTGGCTCGGGCCTGATTCGAACAGGCTGCGTCTGCTTACATTTCAAGACACACAATGAGGAGCAGACGTGGACCATCCACCACCGAACCTTTCTTATCTATAACTCAACCTCAACATATAATACCGACAGTTTCTGGGGTGAAAGTAAAAAATAGACCGTTGACCACAATACATGGCTCGGGCCTGATTTGAATAGGCACCTCCTGCGCAGTACGTAAACAATTTGCAAACTTCCTGCAGGTATGGACCATCCACCACCGAGCCTTTCCTATTTAGAGCTCGACCTCAATATACCAAACAGTTTCTGGGGTGGCAGTAAAAAAAGAGGTAGCTGACCGCATATGACTCGGGCCTGATTCGAACAGGCTGTTTCTGCTTACAGTGGATGCGAGATCGATATGAGAAACAGATGTGGGCCATCCACCACCGAGCCTTTCCTACCTAGTATTTAACCTGAATATACTTCACACTTTTTATTTATTTTTTGGTTCAAAGGTGAGTGAGAAAAAGGACGATATTCGAAGAATGGCTCGGCCCTGACTCGAACAGGCTGCTTCTGCTTACATTGGCAAGATACATCTGCATGAGAAACAGATGTGGACCATCCACCACCGAGCCTTACGATCTGGAACTCAAGCTAAATATATCAGTCAATTTCTTGGTTGAAATGAAAAAAAAAATTGAGAGTCCATTGAATGCTTATGGCTCGGGCCTGATTCCAACAGGCTATTTCTGTTTACAGTGATAAATGAATTTGGCTTCGAGAAGCAGACGAGGACCTTCCACCACCGAGCCTTTCCTACGTACAACTCAGCCTAAATATGTGAAACAATTCCTCGGGTGGGAGTCAAAAAGAGGTGACTGACTTCATCATGGCCCAGGCCTGATTCGAACAGGCTGCTTCTGCTTACTGTGATAAATGAGTATTACGAGACGCAGACGTGGACCATCCACCACCAAGCCTTTCTTCCCCTCAATTGAGCCTCAAGATACTCAACACTTTCTGCGGTAAATAAAAAAGATTCTGCTGGCCTGAATTGGCCCAGGCCTGATTCGAACAGGCTGCGTCTGCTTACGTTTCAAGAGATACAATGAGGAGCAGATGTGGACCTTCCACCACCGGGCCTTTCCTACCTAGAAGTTAACCTGAATATACTCGAGTACTTCGAACTTTTTATTTATTTTTTGGTTCAAAGGGGAGTGAGAAAAAGAACGATATTCGAAGAATGGCTCGGGCCTGATTTGAACAGGCTGCTCCTGCTTACGACAACTATAATGAGAGATAATGAGAAGCAGACGTGGGCCATCCACCACCAAGCCTTTCTTCCCTTCGATTGAACCCCAATATACTACACAATCTTTTGGTGGAAAGAAAAAAAGTCTGTCGATCAACTCTATCATGGCTCGAGCTTGATTCGAACAGGCTCTTCCTGCTCCGCAAGGTTTCACAACCAGAATGCAAACTTTCTGCAGGTGTTGACCATCCACCACCGAGCCTTCCTTACCTTCAGCTCAACCTTGATATACCTAACAGTTTCTTTGTTGAAAGTAAAAAATAGACCGTTGACCACGATACATGGCTCGGACCTGATTCGAACAGGCTGCTCCTGCTTACGACAACTATAATCAGAGATAATGAGAAGCAGACGTGGACCATCCACCACCGAGCCTTTCTTACCTACAACTCAACCTTGATATACCTAACAGTTTTATTGTTGAAAGTAAAAAAATAGACCGTTGACTACGATACATGGCTCGGGCCTGATTCGAACAGGCTGTTTCTGCTTACATTTGCACGATAAATTGGCATGAGATCAGATGTGGACCCTCCACCACCGGGCCTTTCTTACTTAAAACTCGACCTCAATATACCTAACGATTTTTTGGTTAAAAAAGAGTTTGCTGGACCTCAGGCCTCAGGCATGGTTCGGGGGCAATTCGAACATATTTCTCCTGCTAAACCTTGAATGAAGGGGCCCTATTTTTTGCAGGTGTAGATCATCCACCGCCCAGCCTTTCTTCCCTCTATTTCGAGCTCGATATACCAAGCAGTTTTGCAATTTCGCAGTCAGTTCCAAAAAAAAAAAAGCTAACTCTGACTATTGTATGGCTCGGGCCTGATTCGAACAGGCTGTTTCTGCCTCCGATGATGAGAGGTCGGTATGAGAAACAGATGTGGGCCATCCACCACCGCGAGTTTCTTCCCTTAAATTGAACCTGAATGTGCTTCACACTTTTTATTTATTTTTGGTCCAAAGGTGAACCAGAAGAAAAAAAGATAGCTCCCAAGAATGGCTCGGGCCTGATTCGAACAGACTGCTTCTGCTTACAACGACCATCAAATATGAAATGCAGATATGGACCATCTACCACCGAGCCTTTCTCACCTACAATCGAACCTAAATATACCCAACAATTTCTTGATGGAAAGTTAAAAAGAAAAGTCCAACAACAACTGTATTATGGCTCGGGCCTGATTCGAACAGGCTACTTCTGCTCTGTAAAGTTCTATCATTGTTGCAGACTTTCTGCAGATATGGACCATCCACCACCAAGCCTTTCTTACCTTCAGCTCAACCTCAATGTACCCAACACTCTTTTGGTTGTGACTTGAGCCTGATTCGAACAGGCTGTTTCTGCCTAGGTTGATGAGAAATTGGTATGAGACGCAGATGTGGACCATCCACCACCGAGCCTTTCTTCCCTTCAAGTGGACCTCAATATACCAAACAGTTTCTGCGGTAAATAAAAATATTCTGTTGACCTGAATTGGCCCAGGCCTGATTCGAACAGGCTGTTTCTACTTACATTGGCAAGATACATCGGCATGAGATCAGATGTGGACCCTCCGCCACCGAGCCTTTCTTACTTAAAACTCGACCTCAATATACCTAACGATTTTTTGGTTAAAAAAGAGTTTGCTGGACCTCAGGCCTCAGGCATGGGTCGGGCGCAATTCGAACATCTTTCTCCTGCTAAACCTTGAATGAAGGGGCCCTATTTTTTGCAGGTGTAGATCATCCACCACCCAGCCTTTCTTCCCTGCTCGATGTACCAAGCAGTTTTGCAGTTTCGTAGTCAGTCAAAAAAAAGAAAAAAGAAAACTCTGATAATTGCCATTAATGGCATGGGCCTGATTCGAACAGGCTGCTTCTGCTTACATTAGAAAGATATATCGGCATGAGAAACAGATGTGGACCCTCCACCACCGAGCCTTTCCGATCTGCAACTCAAGCTAAATATCTCATACAATTTCCTAGTTGAAAGTACAAAAACAAGAGTCAATGATCACTTATGGCCCGGGCCTGATTCGAACAGGCACCTCCTGCACAGTACGCAAGCGATATGCAAACTTCCTGCAGGTATAGACCATCCACCACCGCGCCTTTCTTACCTTCAGCTCAACCTCAATGTACTCAACACTTTTTTTGTTGAAAAAATGGCAAAAACAATTGCACAGTCGACCGTCCCTGACTTGAGCCTGATTCGAACAGGCTGTTTCTACTTACATTGGCAAGATACATCGGCATGAGATCAGATGTGGACCCTCCACCACCGAGCCTTTCTTACTTAAAACTCGACCTCAATATACCTAGCGATTTTTTGGTTAAAAAAGAGTTTGCTGGACCTCAGGCCTCAGGCATGGTTCGGGGGCAATTCGAACATATTTCTCCTGCTAAACCTTGAATGAAGGGGCCCTATTTTTTGCAGGCGTGGACTATCCACCACCCAGCCTTTCTTCCCTCTATTTTGTTCTCGATATGCCAAGCAGTTTTGCAATTTCGCAGTCAGTTCCAAAAAAAAAGCTAACTCTGACTATTGTCTGGCTCGGGCCTGATTCAAACAGACTGTTTCTGCTTACAGTGGATGCGAGACATAGTAATGAGAACAGATGTGGACCATCCACCACCAAGCCTTTCTTCCCTTCAATTGAACCTCAATATACCTAACAATTTTTATTTATTTTTTGGTTCAAAGGTGAGTGGGAAAAAGAATGAACTCGAAGAATGGCTCGAGCCTGATTTGAACAGGCTCTTCCTGCTCCGTAAGGTTTCACAACCTGAAATGCGAACTTTCTGCAGGTGTAGACCATCCACCACCGAGCCTTTCTTACCTCTGAATTAAACCTCAATATGCGAAACAATCTTTTCGTTGAACGTAAAAAAAAGTCAAGTCCATTGATTAACCGCATCATGGTTCGAGCCTGATTCGAACAGGCTGCTTCTGCACTGTGGCAAACGAACATTGCTACGAGACGCAGACGTGGACCATCCACCGAGCCTTTCCTGTTTAGAGCTCGACCTCAATATACCAAACAGTTTCTGGGGTGGCAGTAAAAAAGAGGTAGCTGACCGCATATGACTCGGGCCTGATTCAAACAGGCTGCTCCTGTTTGCAATAACGGAACATATGGGAATGAGAAGTAATTGTGGACCATCCACGACCGAGCCTTTCTTCCCTTCAATTGAACCTCAATATACCCAACAGTTTCTGGGGTGACAGTAAAAAAGAGGTAGCTGACCGTATGTGGCTTGGGCCTGATTCGAACCGCTTCTCCCGCTCAATGACCTACTATTATTCAAACTTTCTGCAGGTGTGGACTATCCACCACCAAGCCTTAATTTAAATTTCTTACCTTCAATTGAATCTAAACATGCGAAACAATTTCTCGGGTGGAAGTAAAAAACCAAAGTCCCTTAACCAACTGTACATATCATGGCTCAGGCCTGATTCGAATAGGCTCCTCCTGCTTGCAATGACGGAGCACATCGGAATAAGAAACAGATGTGGACCATCCACTACCGAGCCTTCCTTACCTACAACTCAGCCTACATATGTGAAGCAATTTCTTGGTTGAAAGCAAAAAAGAGGTAGCTGACCGCATATGGCTCGGGCCTGATTCGAACGGGCTCCTCTTGCTTACAGTGATAGAGCACATCGGAATGAGAAGGAGTTGTGGGCCATCCACCATCGGGCCTTTCTTACCTACAATTGAACCTAAATATACCCAACAATTTCTTGATTGAAAGTTAAAAAGAAAAGTCCATTGACCAACTGTATTATGGCTCGGGCCTGATCCGAACCGGCTGTTTCTGCTTGACTCGGGAGAAATATTAGGGCCTACAGGATGCAGGTGTGGACTATCCACCACCGAGCCTTTCTTACCTTCAGCTCAACCTCAATGTGCCCAACACTTTTTTGGTTGAAAAATGGCAAAAACGATTGCACAGTCGACCGTCCAAGACTTGAGCCTGATTTGAACAGACTCCTCCTGTCAGACTTTCCGGAAGGGAAAAATGTCTGAAGCAGGTGTGGGGACCATCCACCGACCAAGCCTTTCTTGGCTTGAATCAACCTTAATATTGTAAGGAGATTGTTTCGGGCCTTATGCCAGCAGACAAACTACTTGAATGTGTGGGTCAACAAAACCATAGTGAAGCTTCTACTTCCAATTGGATTAAGATTTAGATTGAGATTGAGATTGAGATTGTTGAACGAACAGATCCACGGATCGGACCGGAACGGAGACAAACGGATCAATCCGATTACCATGCTTCCGGCGCCGAGCCAGTTGTGACTTATTGCTGATTACCACCACCTAAATCGTGTTCAAGTCGGCTGCAATTACCACTTTAACTCATGGATACCTATCCACTTAACTGCGACATCCTTACGATCCCATGCCTTGGTTCCAAACTGACGCTCTCCAGTCGATGGGAGCACTCCGACAACGGTGCCATCTGGTCTGCGTGGGCCGGTTCTTCCATAAAGTTCTACTCGGAGCATCCTCTCTCGTGCTTTTTTGTGAAAATTGGACCTAAAACGGAGCGCAAAGATCGATGGAACGGCGGAACTCCACTGTTTGCTGTTTCTGTCGAAAAGACCTTGCCACCATACCATTCCTCTGGGGCGGTCGAAACCAAGACGTTTGAAGCAGAGCCCGGAATGCTCATTCAAATATGGGACAAGCCTATCAAAGAGTGCCTCGTCGAGATCACCCTAATTGACTGGGCTTCCATCCTGGAGATCGACGGTTTCGTGTCCGTCTCCAGTGTATCGCAAATTCCCCGCATCCCAGATGTCCTTACTAATTTCCGGCGATTTAGGATCCTGGAGAAATTATACGCCCGGCGTCGGTGGCCCAAGACCAGATTTTGTTCATCGGCGATTCTCTATCGTGTGGACTGGCCTTGGAAAAGTGTGATGGCGGACAACCCATCCCACGGGGTGTGCTGGATGCATTCCCGGCTCGTGCAATATCTATACTGAACGAGAAACACTCTTACAATCTTTCGCTCGAGGTTGTCGCATACCCAGGGATTACACTTGTTGGTCTCGAGCGGTCGGACGACGACGATTCCGCAACGGCCTGGGCTCCGGGTATGATTGATAGATTCTTTCACGTCAGTTCGTTGCCATCGAATCTTGCGATAGACCTATAATTAACTGCTCGCAGACAAGTCCCTGGGAAGCCGTCGCGTGGACTCCACGTGGAATGCCCAAATTTATATGTATTGCACTAGGTCAGCAGGTTTCTTAGTTCGACGACTAAACACTAATCACGGCTCTGAAGGCACGAACGACGAGGCGAACGACGTCGCCCCCCACGTATTCCGATCCATTCTCCATGAATTCATCAGAAGACTATCTATCATATTTCCGTCTGTGAAAGCCTTCTATGTCGTTGTGCGATGTCTTGCTATCGTTAATTTTCAGAGCCTTAACGTTGGTCTTAGCCACCTTTCCGTGACTTCACCGAGCCTGATGCAAGTGCAATCCACAAAGACCTCGTCTCCTACCCGGTCAATGTGGATGATCTCTTGATCAAGGTCATTGAGATGAATTCCGGAATGGCCGTGGAACACACGGTCGACGGCCTGCATCCGACGTTAGCAGGCCATACTCTCCTCGCAGAAAACCTCGCTCAGTTTCTGGCAACGCAGCTCCCGTGAACTGAGCCGCAATCCACAAAGTTCGGAGCCTCTGAGGTGTTAGCCAACGGTAGAAGGTGGAAATGGATTGGCGTTCGTCATCCTTGTTTACTAATTTACATCTCCCAGTAGAGATACCCTACAAATTAAACTGCTTCGGAATCACAGGGATGACAATATCATCTTCGATCCGAACGCTCGTATCGTAGTGCGTGCGGATCCTATGGCTCTTCCCCCAGTCCCTCAGCTTGTCAAAATTCCTGCAGGTGTGCGCAACGTCCCCCTGGAAGGTCGTCTTGTTCTGCTTAGGGTCCCATTGCCAGCTGCGGCATCCAAATGATCAGCCAGCAATGCGGTGATAGAGATAGACGATGGCGGCTTACACGACAACGCTCGTGTCCCCGGCGCACATCAGCGCCTGCCGTATCCAATCTACAATGCAAGATGATTAAACAGCAAAGTCCCCTTGAATTGTATGGACTTACCTATACAGTGGTCCAGGTGGTCGATTTCCATCGCGTCGTCTTTGTAATAATCTAATTTAATTAGCGCTGTCAGCGCTGGCGCTGGCGGACGGTGGTCTCAAGTACCTGCGTGAAGGCCCTTGCGAATCATATTCTGTGGAAGTCCGTCCGGCGTCAGGAACTATCTGGCGACTCAAGACCATATAACGAACCAAGCAATGCAAATTATGGAACACGTCGAGTTCCACGATCTGTGGGGATCACACTTCAGCGAACTTGGCCGCTACGGCGTGGACTGGGCAACACACATAGTTGCCCTCGTCTCCGGGAATTGGGTGAGTCTTGTTTGGCAGGAGGGCGGCCTGGCTCTTGGGGATTTGCGAGATGCCGACTGGATGCGATAATTTAAGCACGAAAAAAAGCGCGGTAAGGGAGTTGAAGATTACAGTTGTATAAATCATTCCAGGCCGCGTCGAGTGCGGGAGACGGCGGGATGTGGAAGCGCCTATCCCCGCCAATTGCGTAGGTCGTCACACCATATTCAACGGCGTCCTGGGCGGGTGCTGTAAACGCATCACTCATCAATAATCGATCATGGAGGGAAGTTGAACCGCAGGTTAGGGTTGAACTGACAATAGACAAAGGCGGGCCAGGAGTATTTGGCCGTGGGCCGGAATGTCAACCACAGAAGCAGCAGAGTCTCCAGCAGCAGTATAAGGAGGAGAACGCGGCGAGAAGGAGCGGGGAGGGACGGGCCGTCTCGGAGAAGGGCTCCTGCTGGTCACCATCTTCGACCGACAAGCGTTGGTAGGGAATCCACCGTTTGGCCATGAGAGGTGCAAAGTGGGCGAAAAGTGCAGGTGAGTTCAAGTTTGCGGGAACAGCGGTTCGTTCATGTCTTTCAATTTTCGGGGAAGTCCAGACCCCGGATCTTTGTCGAGCGGAGAAAGAGGCAGGTGGTGAGTTGTTCTCCGATTAGGTCCTTGGTAGGTGGCATTCGATAAATGATGCTTCTTTGGTGTGCCTGAACCGCTGAATGTCAACAGGGCTGGCATGTCAGTGTGCAATGGAAACAGGTGTAGAAGACTCATCAGAAAGGCCCGGCTATACGACGTAGCTGCCAATATCAACTCTTCGAAAGTTACAAGTCGGACTTTGAAAGAAGAAGCCTGCGAACATATTCGGTCTTCGCTCGTAGTTGACCAGACAGGAACTGTTCAACTGCTGATGTCATCGAGTCGGAACTTTGGATTCAGGACAGGGTCTATGTAGTAGACGGGAAACATTCGATGGCGAGCGCATTTGGTAGGGCCAGAAAGGGGATGTTGAATTTCTCGCTAATCACGAGGTTCAAAGTTTCCCACTCCACTAGACGGCCCTGCATGTGTTCTGCCACAATTTACACGAACATATTGCGAACATATGTCGCGATTTCTCCCATTTCCATTTTCGCATGATTATTATCCGCAGAGGATGACTGAAGGGGATGAACGTGAACCTGGGAGGGGCGGACGCGAAAATGATGTGGGGAATCATGATCACGACAACTGTCCAGTGACCAGAGTTGACCGATGGCGGGCCTGGTGATGGGATTCGGTTAAGTGAATGTGACGTCCACTGGCAAGGAAGTGAGTGATCCGGTTCATGACAAGACAAGTCGCGGATGCGGGGGTTACCCGAGCCTCGTGGCGTTCCTGAAGTTCGAGTTCGCTATTGATTGGCCGCTCAATGCCAGTCGATGTATTGCACGCTACAATACATTGAACTGAATGTTAACTTGAAGTGTCTGAAGCGACCGCAGGCGCCAACTTATTTATTCATCAACAAACAAACTACATATATTAATCAAAGTCATTATGGAAAATGGGAACAACGATGTCGTCCTCGATGTGCACAGTCGGATCGTACGTCACAATCATCATGCGCTCCTTCGCCCACTCCTGGATTTTGTCAAACTTGCGGCACGTATGGGCGACGTTTCCCTTGACGATGCTGGAGTTCAAGGAGTTATGCCATTGCCAGCTGATATGAAAAGATCAACAGAAATATACGAGAGGAGATTTAGTTGGCTTACACGATTACGCTGGTGTCGGAAGTGCACATGAGGGACTGGCGGATCCAGTCTATGCAGTGAGCTGGCGGGGTAGATGGATAGATTTAGGTTATCCGGGGTCGTACGAGCAGTCCAAAGAAATGACTTACAGACGTGTTCCGTTGCATTCTTCTGCGAGGGAATGTGATTATTGGTGGTACTAATCCGCCATTCGGGATAGTAGTCCGGATCGAGCTGAGAGGCAAAAGATAGCTGATTTTTAGTTGGGCGCAGGTTTGGTTAGGGAGCTACCCACCGCCATTCTGACTTTGTTCTGTTTGAAAATCAGCTCATCGAGTCTCGAATCTTGATCTTAAAAAT